TGCCACTAAACATGTCAACGGCTAAGCCATAGTCCTGATAGTTTTCACAATATAATCATTTGTTTGCAACTAACGCCGTCCATTGATTTTCATTGAAACTTCACTCTGCAAAGCTCAAATTTGAAGTGCAATTTCTAAACTGTGACTGTGCCTTCAATTTTAATACTTCAGAGACATACTATGCATCAAAATGTAGGTCTGGGTCTTGTGACTCTCACAATATAAAGCTCTTCACTGTAGGAGTTATAGTTTTTAAGATACGACCGTTAGAAGATGGCAACCGCCAAAATACTCTGACCTGTCAAGGTTGCAGCAGCAAGTCATAGACAGGGCCTTTGAACACCTGCCAATGTTTTTATAAATGTATGGTTTATCGTAACTGTGCAACAACGTTAAAATTGAATGTGCTAGACTACTGGTAGAGGCAAGAAGACTTCACACAATTTCCCAGAAATTGTAGCTTTTCTGGTTATTATTATTCTTATTATTAGCAAAAATTTACAATTCTAACTCCTCCCAAGTATAATTGCTACAGACCAAAATTTACCTAAAACGCAGATTGTTCCCGATCGGATTGCTATTATTTGTGGAACGTTTCACCGAATGGTTCACGAATATCGTCATTTTGTGGCTTAATTTGTCCCATATAGAATGGCAGCTAGAGTGGGAGCTGCCAAAAGCTGAAAGTGGACCAGGACATGATTTCTAAACTGCCACCACTCCCTTATTTTCAGGCCCACCCACACAAATCTTATATCAAAACGTTCAGCTATCCCTCCTGCCACTAAACATGTCAACGGCTAAGCCATAGTCCTGATAGTTTTCACAATATGACCATTTGTTTGCAACCAACGCCGTCCATTGACATTCATTGAAACTTCACCCTGCAAAGCTCAAATTTGAAGTGCAATTTCTAAACTGCGACTGTGCCTTCATTTTTAATACTTCAGAGACATACTATGCATCAAAATGTAGGTCTGGGTCTTGTGATTCTCACAATATAAAGCTCTTCGCTGTAGGAGCTATAGTTTTTAAGATACGACCGTTTGAAGATGGCACCCACCAAAATACTCTGACCTGTGCTCTGCTGCAGCAGCAAGTGATGTCAGTCATAGACAGGGCCTTTTGAACACTCAATGTTTTTAAACATGGTTTAATGTAACTGTGCAACAATGTTGCAATTAAATGTGCTATGTAAATGATAACAGTTACTCCGCCCACTCCAGTTGTAGACTACAGGTGGAGGCAAGAACACTTCACACAATTTCCCCAGAAATTGTAACTTTTCTAGTAATAATTGTTATCCTTGAGGAGGGATGGCCAAAGGCTGTTCTAGAACTACTGATACCATGATCCCTAAGGCTGGAAAAACACAATTGGAGAATGGTTGCCACCTGGCCGGTTTTTCAGGCTGTCTGGCCGCTACCGGTTTTGCAAAAGTACAAGCAATGTAAAGGCCTGTATTTTTCTTGGTTTGAAATGAACCAACGAGTTGTGAGAGAGAGAGACAGAAATTTCACCTCTATTATATATGGTACACACATTAAAGGGACACTAGAGTCACCAAAACAACTACAGCTTAATGTAGTTGTTCTGGTGAGTATAATAGCTCCCTTCAGGCATTTTCATGTAAACACTGCCTTTTCAGAGCAGTGCTGCCAGTGCTGTTGCTCATAGACACCTCCGCGGCCACGGCCGAGGTAAGCTCGGCTCAGTGCTGCACAGTAACGCAGTTTCAAATGCTCAGCCCCCAGCACGCTTCCGCATAGAGATGCGCTGAATTTTCCTCATTGATTCAATGCATCTCTGAGGAAATGAGGAGGTCCTAAAAGCCTGGCATTTGGCCCCATCCTCGTAGTTGATGAATAATCCAATGCTTTCCCTATGGCAAAGCATTGGATTGGCTAAA